ACCCCTCTGAGCCACAGGTGCCACCCACCTCCCAGTTTTAATAAGAAGAAATGACACTATCAAAAGAGATCCAGAAAGCAGCTCTAGGGATCACAGAGAATGTTGAAGGTATCAGGAAACAGTAGTATCTCCTTCTTGTTCCTTCTGTCTCCCCTAGGAATTTAGAAGTTTTGGGAATGAAGAATCAAGAGATGGAGTAATAGAATGAGGTTTGTGTTTCTAGATCCTAGCTTACAATGCCAGAATGACAGGCAACTTGTTAGGAGCCAAAAACTGTCATGCAGAAACAAGCTGAGTTCACCGTAATTTTTAGCAGAAAATATTTGAGAAGGGTGTCAGAAATAATAGGTACAGCCTCATATACATGTAATGCGTCGTAAACAGATTAAATAGGAGATTGTAACCTGTAGAGGTAAATACAGCCTTTCAGGGTCTCTGAGCCTAGTAAAGAATGGAGTTGTGACAAGAATGTAAGCGTTGGTGAAAATCCCCTTGTGTAAAACAAGCCTGTGGCCAGGGGCCAATATTAAAAAAAGAGAAGATAATGTAGTTGAAAAAAACTGGTGAAAAATCCATGGACCTTAGGTATCCTAACAAAAGAGACAATTGTGCAGCTAAAATTTGTATTGTAGGTCACTGGACCAATTGTAGGAAGGGAAAACACATTCTTGATGAAGTTTATAGCAGTAAAATACAAGAGCAGGGTATGTACGAGGTGGGAGGGTCTCAGTTGATTAGATATCTGCTGGAAGTTGCATTCTACTACAAGTTGAAAGAAAAAAGTTACTGACATCCCTGGCTGACAATATAAACTTTCAGATGGTGAACAAAGCCGTAAGAGGATACAACCTCGACAAATTCTGACAAGGTTGATTGACAACAGAAATACCAGGATCCTTAGGACAAAGCTAATATACTATCTTTGAGTTCAAATTCAACAAGAAAAAAATGTGAAGAATTAAGTTTGTGTCTAAACTTTAAAACAACTCTAAACATTCAGAAAAAAGATATATATGACTGTAATGGGTTGAATTATGTTACCCTCCAATTTATATGTTTAAGTTCTAACCCCAGTACCTTTCAAAATAGGGTCACTGTAGATGTCATCAGTTAAGATGAGGTCATACTGGAATAGCGTGGGTTCCTAATTCAGTGTGATTAGAGGCCTTTATAAAAAAGGGGAAATCTGGAGACAGACAGACAAGGAGAATGTCATATGAAGATGATCTAGATGATGATTTAGATGAAGACATCTAGATGATGCTTCTATGAGCCAAGGAATGCCAGAGATTGCCAGCAAATCTCCAAAAGCTAGAAGAAAGGAAAGGAACATTCTCTCTCCCAGGCTTCAGAAGGAACTGATCCTGCTGACACCTTGATCTTGGACTTCTGGTTTCCAGAACTGTGAGACAATAATTGTTTAAACCACTCAATTACCCAATGTGTGGCACTTTCTTTCTTCTTCTTTTTTTTTTTCTTTTGCAGATTTTTTTGGCCAGGGCTGGGTTTGAACCCACCACCTGTGATATATGGGGCCGGTGCCCTACTCCTTTGAACCACAGGCACAGCCGTGTGGCACTTTCTTATGGCAGCCTTAGGAAACTAATACAACCACAGGCCTAATATGCTAATTGGGAAGATGACTTAAGAAGGTGGAAATTCTAGCTGGGTGCAGTGGCTCATGCCTGTAATCCTAGAACTTTGGGAGACTTAACCTAGGCAAGAGCAGGACCCCATCTGTACAAACAGAAAACCAGCCAGGCCTAGTAGTATATGCCTATAGTCCCACCTACTTGAGAGGCTGAGGCAGGAGGATTGCTTGAGCATAAGTGTTAGAGGCTGCAGTGAGCCATAATGACACCACTATACTCTAGCCCAGGTGACAGAGAGAACCTGTTTCAAAAACCCAAAAATGGTGTTAATCTTGCAATTTCAGAAAGTTCTGATGAGATTGGAAAAGAAAAATAAATATCCAATGAACCAGGGTAACTACTAGGAGATAAGAATGGTTTTCAAAAGGAATGGTCTATTTACAATTACTTTGTAAAAAAGCACTGATTCCTTTAAGAAGTCTTGCAAAATAACCATATAATCTTTTGTGATGGCTAGGCTAGGTGGCTTACATCTATAATCCCAGCAGTCTGGGAGGCCAAGGTGGGGGAAGTGCTTGAGCTCAGGAGTTTGAGACCACTCTGAGCAACAGTGAGAGCTGATCTCTACTAAAACTAGAAAAAATGAGCCAGGTGTCATGGTGGGCGCCTATAGTCCCAGATACTGAGGAGGCAGAGGCAGGAGGATACCTTGAACCCCAGAGTTTGAGGTTGTTGTGAGTTAGGCTAATGTCACAGCAATCTATCTTGGGCAACAGAGCTTAAAAAACACACACACACACACACACATATATATATATATATATACACACACACACATATATATATATCTTTTGTGATACAGTTAATAGTTTGAGAGTAGCAAATATTGGATTAAAAATAATGGTAGGGATTTAGAAATATGATCTAGGTAAATTTTAGCAGGAAGACTCACAACCAGTATAGATTAACAGATTGATCTTTATCTTTAGAGAGGCTTATTTAATATATTATTTTGTTATAAACTGTTATCCTTAGCTTTGGCTTGTTCAACACTTTCTTTAAAACCAAGAATCACATGAGAACAGTGATTCAACTATGTATGACACAAGGCTTGCAAAAACAGTGCATACACTGGTAGATAAAATCAGGATCCAAAGGTCTAAAATATTAGTCCACATCCAAAAAACATCCCCAAAAGATGAAAGCAGTAGGACCATATAATCGAGATATTTACTTTGGAATTTCCTCTGCAGAATAAAAGAATCTCACATGTATCAGATATAGTATACTGTAGGCCCAAAAAGCAACCTTCAAGGCCAGTATATTGCTAAGAGCAATAGCACATGTGGGGCAGATGTAGGGGTTCCAAATGATATTAATCTCAGTAGGGGTGAACCTGGTGGTGGGGCTGTCCTTGTAGCTAATGAACTCTTAGGCTACATGAGTACCGAGAGTGCTGGGTTCAAGTCTGTGTAGTGTCCAAACAATGATAAGGAGAGTAGACTACAACTATTTGAGTTGGGGGCTAACTAAAATTCTTAAGAGAGAAAACCTGAGAATACTTTTTATATGTGAAAGGCTTTAGTGTAGGCAATTAGACTTTGTTTCTAACTTCACTAGGGTAAATATGTAAAAGTTACATGGTGGTTGATTTTTAGATCAATATGAGAGAAATTTCTAGCAAATAGAGTTGCTTACAAATGCAGGGTTCTATTTTTAGGATCAAATGAGCTTTGTATTAGGAAGGTCAAGTGGAATCAAGATCACTCACTCTGTTTTCAAGGGGAGCTAGCATCATACGGGAGTAAGAGGAAGGGTCTAAGATTTTATGACTCCACTGTAAAGCAGTAGAACTTTATCATCAAGATATCTGGTTTGGAATTTCCTCTGCAGAATAAAAGAATCTCATGTAAACTTCCAGAGACTGAAGAAGACCATCTTTGAAGAGTTAATACTTAGCCCTTCTCTATTTCCTCACGATAGCGGATATCTGGATACCATTCTATCTTATTCTCCAAACTGTCTCCTTCAGAGGACAGGAGAAAAATAACAGGCTTTGGAAGCACAACTTTGGGTCTGGAATCGCTTCTCCTTAGCTGTCTGTACTTCTGTGATCTGTCTTTCTACCCTGTAAACCTGGAGTTTCATGGAATATTCCCAGGGATGGCTCATATTTAGACAAACTCCTCTCCCCTCCTAATGCTCCCAAACTTATCAATATGTAAGACATCAGCAATTATTATACTTCTTGTCCCATGTAGCTAAACTCATCTGTCATTTGATCATTCATTTAGAAAAGAATAATTAAGAACAATCTGAACCATAATTAGTTGATTTAAAATATCACCTACTGGAAAATTTTTTCTGCTTTTAAGCTTGTATAAGTGCTCAGTTATAAAATCAATCTTACTAACCTCCTCGAGCAAAGCTATTGGATGGGTTTACATCCAAATGTCCTGGCACTACCTGCTTAAGCACAGTGGACATTCTTGAAGTCCTCCTTTCAGTCCCTAAAGTCAGCCAAAAAGAAGAACAAAAATCATGTTGTTTGGGTTAACATTACTCAAATGACAAAAAGTTATCTGCATGTGTAGCATGTCTAATTGCTGCCAAACATTGTACTTTTTAAGCACCCAAAACTTTATTAGAGATAACAAGGCAATGGTATTATTTAATCAGAGATAACACACATTTGCAAGATTATAGGGAGTTAGGTTTGGCAAGTGCAATCAGAGAATTTAATGATAAATGAAGCAAGGCATGCATGGTGTTACTTTACAAGAAAAGCCACTTTCTGCTTATGTTGAGCTAATTCGAATAGCTGATTAAGCCAAAGAGACCAACTTCTCAAGTCACATGCTCCTGTGTCTAACACATTAGGGTTACCTCTACATGAACCCTTTGGGGTTCCATCACATGATAACTGAAACAGAATATTAGTACATGTCTTAATGGCTTCATCCAAATCTAATGAAAACAAACTGTACTGAAAATCATAATAGGCTGCAGAAATTTGGGGAATTTTAAACTTACACATGATGATCTTAATAAATATACATTTAATAAACAGATGTCCAACTTATACATTCGACTTCATAATATTTAAAAGTCTATGTAAAACAGATTCTGGGAAAAAGGAGTGACTTTATTTGTGTTACCCACCTCCTCTCCTTTTACTCTTTTAAAAAGGAAATAACTGAAGCTCTAAATTTAGGTACTGCTTACTAAATATTAATAGAGGTATCCTGATTTCTACATGAAAGGACCCTAAATTTCACAGCCCCACAGGGTAAAACTTTAAAGGGGTCATGGTGAAGGAGCAGTACAAGTAACTAAAGAGACTCACCCTAGGAATGGATCTGACCTTTTATAGTAGTTGTCAGGAAGAAAAATATCATCGAATCTTACCTGGAGACAGAGCAAGGGGTGGCCTGACAGTAATAGTGTTGTTGCCTTTTAGTTTCTGATGGACAGAAACTGCATTCAGTAAGGCTTGTAAATACTTTTCTTGTTCTATGCTACTGGAAGATTCCAAAGAGGAGGTAGGAGCTATAAAAGGAAAAGATAATGGAATAAAACAAACTGTATCTTTATGTTAATAAAATAAGCATTTGTATACTTACTTATTTTGCTTACTCTTTCTCTATATAGTCTTCAAGTTACCACATCCAAATATAGAAACAAACTGGACTTAAAGCCCCAATCTATTAAACAGCTAATCCTGTGTAATGCTGGATTCCCAGAAAGAGCCCAGGTCTGGAAAACCAGCACAGAGCTATCCTTCCAAGCATATGGACAGCTTCTCATCACCCAAGCAACTCAGAATGAAAATTCATAAACAAAATTTCCTTGATCTCCACTAACCATTCTGCCCATGTTACTGTTTGGGAGCTGAGGATGAAGTGGGGTCCCTTAATATTCCAGAATGGGTAGAGGTGAGAATTTTCCCACTACCAGTAACTTTACCTCAATTCTGCCACACAGGCCTAACAGGGGATATGGGCTTGTAGGGGTTTGTTGGAGAGTAGAGAAAGATGGGGAAAGAGAGGCATAACTACTGCTGGATTTGCTGCTTCTTCTAAAAGAGCAAAAGGGATACACAGATGAAAACAGCTGTGAGAGCAATTCTAGGTTGATGCGAATATGAGCCTGGATTGTGCAGATCAAAACAGAGTCACTGAAATTGGACTAGACATTTTATTATTATTTTTTGTGACAGAGTCTCACTTGTCACCCTCAATAGAGTGCCACAGCTACACAGCTCACAGCAATTTCAAACTCTTGGGCTCAAGTGATTCTCTTGCCTCAGCCTCCTGAGTAGCTGGGACTACACCACCACAATGCCCAGCTATGGACTAGACTTTTTTTTTTGTAGAGACAAGAGTCTCACTTTGTCTCCCTCAGTAGAGTGCTACAGTGTCACAGCTCACAGCAACCTCCAGATCTCGGACTTAGGTGATTCTCTTGCCTCAGCCTCCCAAGTAGCTGGGACTGTAGGTGCCTGCCACAATGCCCAGCTATTTTTTTTTTTTTTAAATTACAGTTTTCCTGGGGCTGGGTTTGAACCCGTGACCCTCAGTATATGGGGCCGGCACCCTACTCACTGAGCCACAGGTGCCGCCCTGGACTAGATATTTTTAAAAGCGGCATCAGAGAAGGACTCACTAGACAGAAAATCAATACATTTTCTTGCAACCTGAAGAGAAAATAATTAGCAGTATTACATTTTATCAATTTTAAGATACCGATATTATATTTTATATACTCCAAGATGCATTGTTATTTTATCTTCTATGAATAAAAAAGCCTACCATTTAAACTATGACATTATTCTTTCTTATCACCTCAATTATAAGATGAGTAAGAATAAAGAAGAGATCTCAGAAAGCACATGGTTCTACCTACTAAGCCACAGACTTTGAGTTTATCTCATTTGCAAAGGGGAAAGAATGCAGCCATGTCTAAACTGGATCTGACTTAGTGGTCCATTTTTTAATTTTATTGAACATTTATTATGAGGCAGAAGCTATGAGAAAGCTCAGCAAAATATAGCTCCTGACTTAAAGACGTCAGACATGGTACTGACAAATATCCTTATTATATGGGACAGAAGCATCTATTATTCCTAAAAACCTCTTTGCTTGAGAACCCCTAAAGTTATCTCCCAGAAGGAAGGGAAAGATTGGTATAATCTAGTGGATACTTTGCTTTAACAAAATCGTCTAGAACCAAAGACTTTCTTATATTAATTTCTATTAAAATTCAAGTACAGACCATACATATTAAGTAGGATGCCAAATTCAAGGCAGACCTCCACAATACCAAGCATAGTTCTCGTTTAATTTATATATATTGTATGCAGCACAGTGGAAAAGTTTATGTGTGAGACAAGCCTTGATCAAAAGACACAGTTAGAATTCTCAAATTTTACTTCCTTTATTTTAAGGAATCCTCTTAAGTGAACACTCTTTAGGGTCATAACTATGCAGTACAGAGATGCTTACCGGCCTGAGGAGAGTTCTGAGATTTGAAAAGACCAACAACTCCCTTCCCATGGAATCCTCCAGATCGGAGAAGCAGAGTACCACTTCTTGAGTTTTTCCAACATACAACAGGCAGGCGATTGTGCCGATAGCAGCGGGCTACTCTTGTTAAACTACTGTCCTGTACAGCTTGAGGTACAACTAGAAGGCCAGGATAGCTTCAGGGATATAAGGGAGGAGGGAACGATTGGGGTAAGGGGTGGGGGAAGGAGAAAAGGAAAGAAATGGGAGAAGAGGGAGAGAGAGAATATAAGAATATGAATATCATAATAGAGCAATTTTCTATGACTCAGACACATATTGGTTGAGGGGTAAGACATATATTTCAAACATGGAAAAGTCTCAAATTCTCAATTCTTCAGGGGTGGAGAGGAAAATCCCTATAAGGTGAAAGTAGCTAATCATCCACTAATCTGTAGCCTTTTTTGAAATAAGCCTCTTTTTCAGAAATACTGCAGATCTGCCAAATAACCTAAGCTTAGAAAATAAAAATACTAGAAAATAGAGTAAAAATATTAAGAATACTAAAAAGGCTTCTGTGAAACTGAATATTTCTCTTGCTGGATATATTACTTTTAACTTAAAGATTATGAAATGAGTGGATTAATGTTAGCTTTATATGAAGGACAAGTCAAATGGTCAACAACTCGTAGATCACAGAAATGACACCAGAGAAGAGAGCACATCAGTATTAGACTGCCTGAGATGGTGAGAGGATTAAAAATGAAAACCAAATGACTTTTGGTATGAGAACAGTATGCTCAAATGTCAAAATGAGTTTAAATATTTTATTAACACCATATTTATTTTTAAAATATTAGCTCGTAAAGTTATAGGATGTGATGCTGCGAAAACAAGTAACAAGAGTACCTTGTTTATAGATACTAAGGACAGAGGCAGCTGTCAGTCATTTCTTTAGCTTATTTAGAAATACTACATTAAACCGATTTCATATTTATAAATTCCTAATCATATATCATTTTTGGGATTTTTTATTGTGGTAAAATGTATCTAACTTAAATTCACCATTTTATCCTTTCTTAAATACATCAATCAGTGGCATTAAGTACAATTACCATGTTGTGTGACTATAACCAGTATCCATTTCCATAAGTTCTTATCCCTTATCTTGATATAAACCAGTGATGACAGGAGGGAGAGAAAATCCAGTGTAGGGTCATGAAAATTATAACTTTCAACTATTTTAGTGAATGCCAAATTAAATTTCCATACTTAACCAATGGTAACTTGGAAGCATTCTAAAAGCCCAACATTTTGATGCGCTAGGAAGTTATGGCCTGTATTTTTCTAATACCTCAAACTGATGAAAAGACTAAGCTATAAATATAATTACTCATGAAGACTGGATAATTAGGGCTCTCTATTTCTAACTTTAAATATGTTTCCCCCACTTGCTTCAAGATACAATTATAATGTGTGTTAGATAAAGGAACAATGTTTATGGCTCTAGGAGCTGCTTCAATAACTAGGAAAGAGCCAGCCCACTCCTTCATTTCCTGCCCCCACCCCCCAGTAGACTGTCTTCTTCCTTGCACTGGAATTGAGCATTGTAAAACACAGACCATGCTGTGCTACACTAAGACCTAAGACTCTCTCCTGCTCCCAGGCATGGGCCTGAGTGGCAGCTGAATAGTCCCCAGTCCTGGGGACTACTCTCACTGCCAGACTCATTTAATAATGAAAGATACCAATTCTCCTATCCTACTACCCAGATCCTTCAGCTCTGGGCTCTAGAGTTAAGCCTCAAGAGATGGACCGGGCTTTAGAAACTACTGTGGAAACTTTTTTTTTTTTTTTTTTGAGACAGAGCCTCAAGCTATCCCCCTGGGTAGAGTGCCATGGCATCACAGCTCACAGCAAACTCCAACTCCTGGGCTCAAGCGAGTCTCCTGCCCTAGCCTCCCAAGTAGCTGGGACCACAGGCGCCCGCCACAACGCCTGGCCATTTTTTGGTTGCAGCCGTCATTGTTGTTTGGCGGGCCCGGGGCTGGGGATTCGAACCCGCCACCTTAGGTGTATGTGGCTGGCACCTTAGCCGCTTGAGCCACAGGCGCGGAGCCGAAACTTTTAAATCAAAACATAATTCACATACATAATGCTCAAAACACAAACAAACTAAGAGAAAGAAACTCATGTCACTACCACCTAGGCCAAAAAATGGACCATTAAAAGCATCTAAGAAGATCTCCTTGTATTTCCTCCCAATCACCATTTCTTCCTCTTCCTCAAAGATTACCACTATTCTAACAGCTAACAGCATGGATGAGTTTTGCCTGTTTTGGGATTCCAGATAAAAGGAACCAAGAGAATTTGTTTTTGTGTGCCTGGCTGCTTCTGCTCAACATCATATTTATGAGATTCATCCATTTTATTATATAGAGATGTAGTTTGTTCATTTTCACTACTGTATACATAGTACCCTACTTTGTGATTATAACAACACTTATTCTTCTATTGTTGATTTGGAGTAGGTTCTTTGTTTGTTTGTTTTTTGAGACAGAATCTCACTCTTGCCCTGGCTAGAGTGCCTTGCCGTCATAGCTCACAGCAACCTCAAATTCCTGGGCTCAAGCAATCCTCTTGCCTCAGCCCCTGAGTAGCTGGTACTACAGGCACCTACCATAATGACCAGCAAGTTTTTCTATTTTTAGTAGAGATGGGTCTTGCTCTTGATCAGGCTGGTTTTCAACTCCTGAACTCAGGTGATCTATGTGCCTCGGTCTCCTAGCAAGTTTCTATTTATTAAGAATAATATTCTATGAACATTCTTCTAAATGTCTTTTGAGAGAATATACGTATTTCTTTTGGAAATTCAACTCCACCTTACAGAGAATTTCTAGGTAACAGTTCATGAATATATTCTAGTATTTAAATATTTAGTAGATACTATCAGACAACTCTCCAAAGTTATTTAACCTATTTACAGTCCCACTAGGAATAAATGAGAATCGACACTTTCTTGATATCCTTTATAGTATTTAGTATTGTCAGTCTTTTAAATATTAGTTATTCTGGTAGATATACTGGGGGTGCCAAAAAAATGCATACACATTATAAACCATCTTGTCAGAAGTAAAATCAATCATTCCCCAAGTTACAAATTGCAGGTAAAATGGACAAACAGAGCATGTCTAGGTACACTTGATCAGTAATGGTACCTTCAATTCAACTACAAAAAGTAATACCCACATAACATCTCTCAAAATGTGCATAAATTTTTTTGGCACTCTCTATATAATACTTTCACTGGAACTTTATATTTACCTGAAGACTAAAAGGTTAAACATCTTTTCAGTTTTTTTCTTTTTTTGCCACCAAGACATCCTCTTTTATGAAATAACCTGTTCAATTCACCTACCATTTTTTTTTGCCTTTCACTCTCTCAGTCAGTGAATAACACACATTTATTTCTCACATGTCTGTAGGCTGGCATTCTCAGATCAGGGTTCAGTGATATCTTCTGATATACAGAAGTTCTTAATTTATCAGTCTTTTACTTAGTGGATAATGTTTTTCCTGTCCTAAGAAATCCTTCTCTACATCAAGGTATTTTCCTATCTTCTACCTAAAAACTTCACTGTTTCAATCTTTTTTTTTGGCCAGGGCTGGGTTTGAACCCACCACCTCTGGCATATGGGGCTGGTACCTTACTCCTTGAGCCACAGGTGCCGCCCTACTGTTTCAATCTTTTACATAAAGATCTACAGACTAATGGGAATTGATTTGTGTGAATGGTTTAGGTAGAAGATCAAAATTAATTTTTTCCAGGACCATTTACTGAAGATATATCTTCTATCCAGTGCCCTTAAGTGCTACCTTTATCTTAATCAAGTACCCATGTATGCTAGGCTGTTTCTATACTCCCTACTTTGCTTATTGGTCTGTTTGCCCATCCTCGTGCCAGTTTCTTACTGTCTTAATTATTGCAGCTTTATAGAAAGTATTGATATTCTGTGGTATTATTCTGTAAGATTATCTTGACTACTCTTGGCCTTCTGCATTTTTATATAACTCTCAGAAGAAATTATCTTTTCAAATTTCCATAAACATTTTGCTTAGGATTTTGATTAGGATTTCTTTTTTTTTTTTTTTTTGAGACAGAGCCTCAAGCTGTCCCCCTGGGTAGAGTGCCATGGCATCACGCTCACAGCAACCTCCAACTCCTGGGCTCAAGCGAGTCTCCTGCCTCAGCCTCCCAAGTAGCTGGGACCACAGGTGCCCGCCACAATGCCCGGCTATTTTTTGGTTGCAGCCATCATTGTTGTCTGGCGGGCCCAGGCTGGATTTGAACCCGCCACCTTAGGTGTATGTGGCTGGCGCCTTAGCCACTTGAGCCACAGGCACCGAGCCTTGATTAGGATTTCACTGATTTAATAGATTAATTTCAGAAGAATGTATAGTTTTAGGTTACTGGATATTCTAATCTAAGACCATGAAATATCTATATATTTAGATCTTTAATGATTCTCAGTATTGTTTTAAGTATTTCATGGAGAAGTCTTGTACAACTTCCATTAGGTTTATTCCTAAGTATTAATGTTTTTTGTGCTACTGTAAAAATAGTTATCAGTAATACCAAAATAGCATCACTTTTTAAAATTTCATTTTGTAATTTTTTTGTATATGTATAATTAATTATCATTTAATGACATTGTACCAATGCAGACCTTACCAAATTCACTTACTAATTTTGAAATTTTATCTGCTTATTCAGATTTTTTACATGTTCATTCAGGTCATCTATGAACAATGACAGTTTCATTTCTTTTTCAGTCTTTATATATTTTCTAATTTATTTTTCTAGCTTTTTCGTACCATCTAGTACCTCTATTACAACACTAAGCAGAAGTGGTGACAGAGGGCATCCTTGTCTTATCCTGATCTCAGAGGAAAAGCTCTTAATATTTTATTTATTTATTTATTTTTAATAAGAATTATTTATTTTTTTGGCAGTTTTTGGCGGGGGCTGGGCTTGAGCCCACCACCTCCGGCATATGGGGCTGGCGCCTTACTCCTTTGAGCCACAGGCACCACCTCTTAATATTTTATTTATTTAAAAAAATGAGTTATTTTTACCGTATGATTTTTAAGACACCAGATTAAGGAGTTGATGCTTTACTTCTAATTTGCTAAGAAT